GGCAGCAGCAGCCAACTGAGCTCAGATTCTCTGGGAGCCCGGGGACTGTGCTCCTGCAGCTTTCTTTTTCTTCAAGGGTGTATCGGGGGAAGGGGTGTGAGCGAACAGCAGCTTCTCACCCGAAAGCCACGGCATTTCCAGAAGGAAGGTGGCCTCGTCACCGGGTAAGGTCACAGCACGGAGCTCCCAGCATTTCTGAGATTCCAAACTAAGTGTGGCCAGAGATGATTGCCCCATTACTTATGATTTTGTTATTTTCCCTTTTTCTTCCCAAAATGGCCCAGAAGAGCAGACAAATGAAAACAAAACAAAACAAAACAAAACCCTCGAACCTTTAAGTCTGAGCTGGCTTTAATTTGTCTGTGGGCAGGGTAGCAAAGCCCGAGGGATGCTGTTAAGGTGGCAAGTGGGGAATTTGTCGCCTCTCATAAATTCAAACACGAGAGTAACTCGGTTAAACTGTAAAATGTGACTCCGTCTCCAGGCAGGAAATAAACATCTGCAGAGCCAAAACCCATTCTCCACCCAGCTGCCACACTCCTCTTCCAAAAGAGGGGCCCTGTGCTGCCTGGGTCAGGAGAGCACTCACACAAGCGAAGGTCGGGGAACTTCGCAGAGGCTGGCTACACCTAATCCCCCTTAGCGCCCTGACAGCTCTATGCCCTTGAGGCTCGGGTCCTCCCAGAGCCAGTGCCCACCTGCCCCAGCTGCCAGGCCAGTGGTGTCCTGCCCTGTGCCATCTGCTGCTTCCCTTCTGCGTTTAGCCTGTAGAAATGCTTTATCACTGTTACATAAGCCATGACTCCTGGGGGACCGTGGCCCTGGATGGTCCAGATGCTGTGGCAGACATGACAGGTCAGGGTCCACAGGCCACCAAGACTAACCAGTGACCGTGCTGGAACTGTCCCTGCCCAGTGACCCAGACAGCTGGGCTAAGAGCAAGATAAAAATCTCTCAGACTTGAAGAATGCCTTTTCACACCATGAAAATTAGGCTCTGCCATGGTTGACTTGGTGTCAGATGGGCTGGCCTGAGCTGGCCTCTTCCTAGGTTGTGGTAGTTAGTTCTCTGATGACTGGTGACTGAACCCAACGCTCTACCACTGATCTACTTCCCCAGGCCCCTTTCCCTTCTCATTTTTGAGACAAGGTCTCACTAAACTGACCAGGCAGGCTTTGAACTCACTCTATAGCCTAGACAGACCTTGAACCTATGATGCTCCTGCCTTGCCTTGCGTAACAGGCTTGTGTCATCAGGCTGGGTTCCTGAACATTTTCGTATGTGTTCTGTAACAACATCTTTGTGGGCCGAGGAAGAAGGAGGCCAGATGTTGACATCAGCATCTTCCTCAGGTTGAGACAGGTTCTCTCACTGACTCGGAGCTTTGCCGTTTAGGCTGGATGGCCAATCAGCTTCAGGGATCTTCCTGTCTCTGCCTCACCATCACTGGGGCTATAGGCACACACCACCACACCCAGCTTCCTCGGGACCTGGGGATCAACCCCAGATCTCCATGCTGTATAAAGCACTTTACTGAACGAACCATCTTCTCGGCCCAATCTCTCTCTCCCTCTCCTTGATTCTGAAGTTCTGCATATCACAGGCCTTGGCCTGTGAGATGAGGACATAGCCCAGTCTGTCTTCTGACTAATGACCAAAGCTGACCAGGCAGAAATGGGTCCCTGCTCCTCCTCACCCCCCCCCCCCCCCCCCCCCCCCCCCCCCCCGCCATGGTCAAATTTATTAGCCACTCAAGAGCCTCTAGGTTTTACGGCATAATCCAAAAAGCCCTTTTACATTCTGAAGTTTCAAAGAATGTTCTGGGTTTTAGAGAATGCTTTTGAGCTTCCATTTTTAGCTATGAAGTATTTGAGCGGCTGGAAGCATTCTGCTGTGTGTGATGTCGCCGTGGCTTGCTGCTGTGTGTGGATGGCACTGTGGCTCACTGTACCCTTCTATGTAGGTTCCCACTCGTATTAGGTGTGAGGGGTCTCCTAGGACCCACCCTACCTACTCTGTGTGCCCTGTGTCCCCTCCTGGGCTTTCTGCTCTGCCATGCCCCTGGCTCCCCATTGGCCACCATGCTGGGATCCTGGTGGTTTGTGACACATTCTAGATGCTCTCTAGATGCCCCCCAGCTGCTCCGTGAACTCACTTCCCAGTGGTTTTCCCTTGGTCCCTAGAGTAGCTGCCCTTGTTTGCCATCAGGGTAGTTCAGTGCCTCAGTTTCCAGACAGTGAGGCCTACGCTTCAGCTTCCCCTTTGTTGCTTTTGAACGCCTTGAGAGGGAAGACAAGAATGGGGCTGTCCTGGCCAGCCAGGTGCATAAGGACTCCAGACCCCAGTCCCAGGGTCCTCAGTGAGGATGACTCTGCTTTCCCATCTCCTGCCTTTCCCAAGGTCCCCTGAACCATGCTCCAGACCCTAGTCTCCTTGAATTCATACGGCTCTGCTCTTCCCATCCTGCCTTCCCTGGGGTCCCTGAGTGAGGGTGGCTCTACCCTCCCCTCTCCCGCCCTCCCCTCTCCCGCCCTCCTCTTTCCCTTCTCCTGCTGTCCAAACCCCTGCCTACCACAGCTCCTGGGCTGGGGCATTACTTTTGCATTTTAAGGATCAAGCTGTTTACATTCTCTTTCTTCTCAAGCAGAACAGACCACAGGCTGGCTGGCTTCAGGTCTGGGCTGTGGGCAGTACTGGAGGCCCAAGCATGGTGCCAAGTTCTGTGGCCAGGAGGAGATGAAATGCAGCCTCCATAGTGCGCAGGCTGCTGGCGTTTGTAACCGGAGTGAGGTCAAGACCCGGACACTCTGCGCCGTCACTTCTGACGTGAGGTCGTGTCCACAGGTTGAGACAGACCACGGACACATTGACTGACATGTCTGAGACCAAGCCCTGCTGAATGTCAAGAGCAGAGCTCACTTCACACTGGGTGTGAGTCTGCACCGACCCCACACCTCTCCCAGAGGTTTCGTTTGGCTCACAGGCCAAAAGTGTTATTTAACCTCCAGCTTCTCCAGTCAGCCCAGAAAATGGATTTGCAACCAAACGAGGAGGAGAAGCCCGGCTCAGGCTCCTTCCGCCGCACTCGAGTACGTAGACTAGACTGTGGCCTCCCTTCCCTTCCCTATCCCTGAGCAAGAGACTAGTCTAGAGTGGTTCTCAACCTTCCTAACGCTGAGGCCCTTTAATACACTTCCTCATGTTGTGGTGACCCCCCCAACCATAAAATAATTTTCATTGCTACGTCATAACTGTAATTTTGCTACTCTTATGAATCGTAATGTAAATATTTGACATGGGACTCCTATGGGGGTCGCAACCCACAGGTTGAGAACCACTGACATGGAGTATTCTCACGTCAGGCTTTTGACCTTCCATGCTTTATTAGAATCTGTAAAGCCTCCCGAGATAGGGCATGCATCCTTAGCCAGTGATCCCTGTCCCCTCAGACTGTAGCAGAGCCTTCCCTCGACCCAAGTTGGCTTTCAGCTTGGGTGTGGAATGGTTACTCTGTCTCTTTTATTATTTATTTGTCGAAAATGTAATATAATTCATCATTTCTCCCTTCCCTTTCCTCCTTCTAAACCCTCCCATGTATACCTCCTTGCTCTCTTTCAAATTCATGGCCTATTTTTCATTCATTGTGATTGCATGCATCTATGTATATGTACATTCAATGTATTCCCAAAGACAACCTGCTCAGTCTGAATAATGTCACTTATATGTATGTTTTCAAAGCTGACTATCTGGCGTTGGATAACCAATGGGTGTGCTCTTCCCCAGGGAAGACTGTTTCTCCCACTCTAGGCATTCCTTGGTTGCCTGTAGTTTTTGAATAGGGTTGAGGACTCATGGTCATCCCCCTGTCTATTTGGGCATGTCTATTGTTGTTGTCCTTGCTCAGCTCATGTTTAGACAGCCATGTTGGTAGACTTTATGGATGTAGCTTCTGAGATTACTAGGAAACACAGTCTCACGGTCAATTTCTTGATCATCTGGCTCTTAAATCGCTCTGGCCCCTCTTCCGCAATGTTCCCTGAGGTTGTATTGTAGATGTATCTCTCTGTTGGGGATGTTCCATCTTTAAACACGGTGACAACAGAAGCTTTAAACGTTCAAGCCATAGCAGCAGGGGCTATATTAGTTCATTTTGGGATGTTTTATTAGCATATATTAATTGTAGAAAATAATGAGTTTCATTGTGACATCTCCACACACATGTATCACCCACTCTGCCCATAACCACCCCTCTCCTGCCCCCTTCTCCCAGTGGCCCCTTTCTTCTTAACTATCCACCTTCCACTTTCATGTGTTTATTTTTAGTCTGGGTTCCACACGTGACAGAAGAGATGAGATGTTTGTCTTCATCGGTCTGGATCATTTCACTTAGCATGATGACTTCCGGTTCCGTCCATTTTTCCTGCAAGTACAATGACTTCATTCTCCTTCATGGCTGACTAATACTTCACTGTGTGTTACATGCATTTTCCTGGTCATCCCTCCACGGTGGGCAGTTAGGCTGGTTCTGTAGCGTGGCTGTTGTGAATGGCGCCATGATAAACACAGGTGTTCTGGGGGTTTCCTTTACTTGATTTTTTTTTTTTTTTTTTTTTTTTTTTTTTTGAGGAAGGGCCCCAGGAGTGGTATAGCCGGGCTGTCTGGTAGTTCTATTTTTGGAGAACTTCCTTGCAGATTTCTGTAGTGGCTGCCTCTTTTACACGTCCCAAAGCAGTGTGCAGGGCTCTCTTTCTCTCCACCTCTAATCAGTACTGTTGTTCTTACTTTTCTGAACAGCAGCCATTTTGATGGGTGAGGTCAACTTGCTGAGTGGTTTTAATTTGCATTTCCCTGGTGGCTAAGGATGAAAGCTTTTTGGTGTATTTATTAGCTATTGGTATTTCTTCTTTTAAGCATGGTCTGTCTGTTCAATTCATTTGCCCATCTATTGATTGTATTATTTGATCACTTGGCATTTACTTTTTCCCCTTTAGTTCCTTACTAACTTATATTTGGTTCAGCTCTTAGGAACCTGTTTCTGTGATGGGTGCCAGGTCAAGAAATGCTGAGCTTATCGAATGGAAGGCCTGAGGCAAGCTGTCAACCCATGTGGTAGACAGGTGCATGACAGATGGGCAGTGCAAAGTCCAGAGTGCGGCACCCGGGAGTCACACATAAAACATGCCAGAGTGAAGGGCTGAGGGTCCCCTGAGGAGAGGGTTGTGAGATGGAGTTTCAGCACCCTGGGGGAGTTCTCAGATGAGCCAACTGTCCTGCAAACCTCCCCAGAAGTCCTTTCTGCTGTATGGCTACAGAGTCTGTTTTCTCTTCCTCAAACACCTAAAGATGTCCTTGACTGCCTGTCTTTCTGCTGCCTTCCAGGGCACGACTGAAGTCACCAGACTGTAAGTATTCAGCAGCAGTTCCTCGGGGTTGGGGAGACAAGATCCTGCAGTGGACAACTCACAGAAGAAGCCTGAAGCATGCTTGTTTGGACTCAGCAGAATCCGGCTTCTCCTGGTCAGAGACGTGGGGCTCGAACACAGCTTCTTTTGTGAGGACAGATCAGGATTGCTTGCATTTTCCAGTGGGGGGAGACTGCCACCCTTAACGTTTAGTCATGACTGCTCCGGGGCTGGCATGGGGTCAAGGGACACAACTCTATCATAAAGTTGGCCCCTCTTAAAAACCCAAATACTATCAAACGTCACATTCCTGCAGCTAAAAATAAGCCCAAAACCCGACATTTCCTAAGACACGAAGGTCGTGGCCAAGAACTCTGTGGCTGCAAGTCTCTCTATGAAGGGGCTGTCAGATAGCTACGCAGGACGCAGGACGGGCTGCAAGGCTGCTGCAGACTGCCCTGTCCCCGTCCTAACATCTCCATGGGGCAGTGGTGTTCCCCAGACACAGGCAGCACTGGTTTGGGCGTGTACCAAGACATCCAGTAATCCCCTATGCCTTGTGAGGTTGGGCCTCTCTGGGTGAGGGGACCCCCAAACCTCCCATGGCCTGAGAACAGAACAGGGGCTTCCGTTCCTCTGGCAAAGCTGAACACTGAGAAACCTCACTGCTGATTCTCTGTGGCTCAGCCCACAGTGATGTGCCCTGCAGGGCCCAAGTAAGGGCAAGGTGTGGGGAACAGAATGGGATGCTTGGGCATGCCCTCTTGGATTGGGGGTCAGTGACAGGGGCCTACTCCTCCACCCTGGGATGGGGTGTTTCTCCTTGAACACAGCTGGCTAGGGCCTGGGGCTGGGAGGAATGAGCTTCCTGTCTCAGCACTCAGGCTCCAAGACACTAGGACTATTGCCTTGCCTTGCCAATGTCTGTCAGCTGGGGGCCTCCCAACCCTCCTCCAGCTACCTCCTCTATGTAGCCACAGAGGGACAACTGGGGAACATAGAGGAAGGATGCTCTATGAGGTCACCCTAAAGCTGAGGGACTGAGCCCAGACAAGCACTTCGGTAGCCTTGCCCATTCCCACCCATCTCCCATCAGGAGGAGCAGGACCCTCACAAGGGGAACAAACACAGAGTAAGTGCCACCAGTCCCCATCTCACTAATGGGGAACACCCAGGGAGGGACTGGCCTTGTCTACACAGGGCAACACGGTCTCCACTCACTGTCCCCAGGACAGACAGACGGGGCCCATGTGGCGAAGGACTGGTTTGCAGGTAGAGGGACAGTGAGCAGGTGCTCAGAGAGGCAGCATCCTGCTGACCACGTGGGACACACAGTTGGCCACTGCGCCTGGGCTGCTGTCCCTCTGTGGCCCAAGCGGCCCCATTTCCAAGCCCTCCGTCTGTCCCCCTTGGGCAGGCATCTTCTCAGCACAGCAGGGAAAGGACGGCGCTGTCTGATGCTCCCGCAGAGCTCCCGCCACAGAGGAGAGTGCGTCCTTGGAGCTGCTGTCTGCTATAAATACACATCTGAGTCAGAAAAATCAAATGCCTCCAGCCAGGCAGCCAGTCTGCCCAGCAGCTCCATAGCGTGGGGTCCAAGCCCTCCCCAACCAGCCCAGAGCGGCCTACTTTTCAAGCCACGAACCCTTAACAAAGGCAGGTTGGATGGGCTGGAGGGAGACAAACGCACCCCGCTCCCGAAAGTTGATGTAACCTCATTGGAGGATTGCTAGGGTGGACGCCCCGCTCCTATTGGCTGAGGTGGGCTGGTTCCAGGGACCCTGCGGACCAGCAATAGTCTCTCTCCATTCCTTCAGGCTTAACAGAGGTCCTGACATCTGCCCTCTGACCTCTGAGGTGACCACTCAGTATGCTTTCAGGATTTTAGGAGGCAGGAGCACCACTTTTCTTAGACTTCTAGCAAAATTTCTTGAGGTCTGGGAAGCTTCCGTCAGAGGCCATGTACCAGGGCCGCGTGGGAGGCTGCTTCCTGCCCACTGCTGGCCCTGCTTGGGGGTCCCCGTGGGGTTGGCTGGTGCCTGCTGAGGCTGGCCCTCTGGTCTCTGGTGTCGGCAGCTGTCCTAGCCCAGGACTTCTTCATCTTTGCACAAGTCTCCCTCCTCCCCATGGGTCAGGGGGGCCAGCTTCAGGGATTACATCAGATGGGTATCACGATTGGGCTGTAGTGCCACAAGGCTCCTGACTCAGTGACTTTCATGCAGGTCACAGGTCGACTCTCAGAAGATAACCATGGAAGGACAAGGAAAAGAACATGGGAGCAGAAGGGATTCCTGTGATACGGGATATGCTTTGCAATTGTGAAGCGGTGCCCGAGTACAACCCTCCTAGGAACTATAGACCCTGACATTTGTGCCCTGACCGGGACATCACCCGTGGAGATGGCTCCGGGCTCAGTAAAGCTGTTTCCAATGGAGCCTTCAGGGTCTGACACTGTCCAGTTTGGAGGGAAGACAAGACCACAGAGCAGCCCTGCCAAGTTGGCAGTGCCAAGGGAGGCAGGTTGGTTGGGCCAGGGGACCACTGGCTAGACAGTGAGCCGAGCTTTGCCAGCCTGTTGCTGTCAAAACAGGGTCCTGTCCTGGTGAGCTGAAGCAGGCTACACAGGCTGTGTAAGGGCGGCAATCTGCTCCAGTCTGAAGGATGTGGGGTGCATCCTTGTGAAGCTGACGCAGGGCTGAGTCCCAGCTAGGGCTATTATGGTGAGGACATCACTAAAGACCCCTTTGTCCTTTGTCCTCAGCACCCCTTGTCACATTAGTTCCAGATCTTGAGCTGTCAAGAGCTTCATTAACCTCGCACAAAGCTCCCCGGAGGGGAGGAGCCCGGCCAGGCTCTCAGAAGAGAAGCCCGGCTGGAGATGTACTCTGGTGAGGATCAAATAGACCCACCCAGGCCTCCAAGGGTCCCAGAAGCATGTCCCCATCTTGCCACTGCCACACACACACACACACCTTCCTGAGCCCTCTCTGTAGGGCATGGCCTGATGTCCCCCCCAAGAAATGGGCCAAAACCCAGCCACTACATTCTGCACACTTGCTAAAACTCTGCCTGACAAAACATGGACCACAAAGCAAACCCTGCTCCGTGATCCCAGTCACATTGGGATAAATCAGTGACACGGTGGTCCTTGACCCAGTCAGGGCAGCATGAGTCCCTCAACACCACCCCAGCGCTCTGGAATTCAGGGAGAATCAGTAATGTCCTCTTCATTTTGTTCCAAAGACACTGGAGGGTGGCAGCGTGACCTGGCTCCTGGGGAGGAGAGAGGCCCTCAGAACACAGAGTGTACCAGCCCGGGATCGCCCCAGGTCTGAGTGACTCACTCACCATTTCTGGGCTAGTCTTGTAGCCATCCAGAAGCAGGATGGCACTCCAGTCTAACTGACCACTCTGGAAATAATGTTCCTTCCCTCTCTTTAGTCGTCTGGAATACAGAGGGGACACCTGGCAGGTGAGATGCCTCCTGGGACTATGAATTAGCATCCAATTATTGAGGTTGATTGTAAACTAGGATTAAGAGGAGCACAGAGCCTGTGTGCAGCCTGGGAATGCCTAGCTTAGAGAAATGAGCATTCCATCCATTTGAGCCATTTTATTTATTTATTTATTTATTTATTTATTTATTTATTTATTTATTTATTTGTTGTTTTTCTTTTATTCCCTCTGAAACACTCCTGGGACTGACACAGAGTTGACTAGAAAGGTGCCGAGCACCTGGCCTTGGGCCTGGAGACAGGAAGCTTTCCACGAGCTAACCACACAATATGCCACCTCAGAGGGGCAGCCAAGCATGGTCAGGCTGCTGACATTTCCCCAAGTGCTAGGAATCGCTCTTCTTGGATTCTTTGATTTTCGTCTCATCTACCACACTTGGGTCTCTGTCATCTCTCTCGCGGCACGGCTCTCTTCATCCCAGCCTTTCCTATGGGACCTCTTGGGATGTCCTTAGTACCCCAACTGTCCGCGAGGACACCATGTTGCCGCAACTCTTGCAGTTGTCTGTTTTATCAGCGGCACTCCTAATGGGTGGCACTCTGCAGTCTCACTGTACGCCTCCCTAGTGACCAGTGATGCTGGGCCACTTCCGGTGCTCATTGTGCGTCTGTACTATTTTTTTTTTTTTTTATTTTTCCATCACAGGCAATTTATTTTGTTCTATTCATTCACAGTTAATACAGAAAATACTTGGAAACATTTCCATATAATGTTTGACACAGAAATCATCAAATAGAAGTATACAATGTTGACAGGAGGCAGTACATTTATAATTTATAACCCCAAATG